GTCACTAAGTTGCACGAGGCCTGTTTCCTCATGAAGGGGACCTTAGACTACATGATCTGAAATTCTGGGAGTTTTGTATTTGTTTCCAGAAAAATTATCTGACCTAAAAAATCTGACATACCAATAACAAAACAGTATTGGAAGGTGAGCAAAGTATTTCTTCCTTCCACCTGTCCTGGCCACCCACTCTATAGTGCCTTTCTCCAAGGACCCAGACTAAAACAACCTGTATCTTGGAATGAAGTCACAAGTCCCCAATGTTGATTTGTGATGGACTAACTTAACTCACCATCCCCAAATGGCCTACTCCACCGTGTAGGGTTGGCAGGAGGGAGGCAAGAGAAGGACAACAGACATCTTCGCACAAAGCTTCGTGAAGTCCCTGAATGTGACCACTGGCTCAGATTTTTCTCAGGGCAACTAACTGGTACAATTGAGGCTCTCATTGTTGTATAACCAAAGCATCTTTTTTATAGTGGGGATGACCCCATTAAGAAAAAAAATCCAACAGTGTGAGCAATTCCTTGTGCCAACTCAAAATACCTCTGCTTGCAAACACCAGCATTTTGACCACAACACCCGCTAAGAAAGAAATGGTAGGATGTTGGACGCCTCAGCACATTCTCTAGATAGTTCTATTATCAATTCAAAAGTTGTTCCCCCACCCTCATACAGAGTAAAGACTTTGTTACCATTTTACAGACAGAGCTGGTTTTTGTTGTTGTTTTGAGGTGCTCGGAATAGAACCCAGGGCCTAATGCATGCTGGGCAAGTGCCATACCACAGAGCTCCATCCCTAGTCCCACACAGTCAGCTATCTATTGCCCCTTTCTCATGTCCAACTCCTATGCTCCAGGTTCTAAAGCAAAACTGTCTTGGCTAATCTAAATCTTCCTTGGTACTAGGCAGGAACAATTCCCTGCAACCTACTCATCCACTCTCCTTTTTGGGACAGTAAGGCCACGAGAAGCAACTGGACTACTGGATGTTTGCATTGAGCTTTATAATTTACAAACCATTCACCAACATACCATGATCTCTCATCTGAGCCTTATAACAACCCAAGGAGGCAAACCTGCTCCCCTCCCCAGTAAGGTCTGTATCTGCATGAGACTGTCATGGGGTGTCACACGGTAAGCACACCATAAGTGTAAGTTATCAGCCATGTGCCATGGTCTGGATGTTTGTGGACCACCAAATTGAAATCCCAACCCCCAAGAGGACAGTATTAGCCATGAGATCTTCAGGGTATTATTAGATCATGAGGGCAGAGCACTCATAAGTTGGATTAGCATCCTTATAAAGAGGCCAGAGAGAAATTCCTCACCCCTTCCACCATAAGATCATGGAGAAGCAGCCATTTGTGAACCTAAAAGTGAGCCTTCGCTCACCACAAACTCTGGCAAAACCCTGACCTCAGACTCCCCAGCCTATGAGAAACAAACTTCTGTTGTTCATAAGCCACCCAGCTTAAAGTACATTACAGCAGTCCTAATGGACAAGACCATATTAAACACAGCAAGTACTATTTTATGAATGAAAAACGAGGCTGAGGTTGGACAACCAACGAGGCCTCCAGGAAAGTACAGTGAGCTGGGAAGGGAGAAAGCCTAATGCAGGATTCTTTCTACCACCATATCGACCTAGATCCTAATATGTCTAAAACCTTATAGTCACACATTTCCAATTAGGCTCAGGCCTAGGAGAGCCTGAAGTCTGGTACTGTCACAGTAGGATGGCCACATACTCAAGAGCATTGGTTCTTTGGACCTCTTTGCCTTCCTCTCCATAATGAAGGCAGACTCACTGTTGGTCGGTCGGTCGGTCGGTTGGTTGGTTTTTTTCCTTATTCTTCCTTTTTCCAAATAAACATCAAGCTTTCAGACTACAGGCCCCATTGCAAGCACAAAGTATCATTTAATTGCATTTCTACACCAGCTCCAGCTATCTGCTTCCCAGTCCCTAACTCCCACTGGGCAGATTCTGAAGCCACACAGGAGATTAAGTCAAGAGGGGAGAACAGGAGGGACATTCTCTCCTTGAACTTTCTTAAATGGAAAAAAGAAAAAAAAGAAGAAGAAAAGAAAAGAAAGGCCTATTTTCCAAGGAGAGGGGCTGGGGCAATGATCTTTCCATTATGAGGACCTGCATAAGAATCTATAGATTATTTAATGCTGGGGTGGCTGTGAAGCGAAATAAAGGAATCTTTGTGCGACGCCAGCCACAGTTCCCTCACTCTTTCCCCAGTCAGGCATTTCAACCAACTCTTTAAATCATCAAGCTCTAATGCACCCCATCTGTGCACTGGCTGCAGCCAATGAAACCAAAGCCTTTGCTGACTTTGGCCTGGACTTGTGAATGAGCCTTTCTGCCCCAAAAGGGGCAGGATGGAGGACATAAGGCCAATGAAGTCTTTTTTTTGCTCATTATTTGTCTTCTCCCAATGTTCAAGCTCCATTCGTCCTTTTATTTGATTACTTGCTGAGCTCTTACCACAGGTCAAGTTCTGATCTGGAGACTAAAGCTGAGAGGACATGGCCCAGTGATGTGAGAAAGAGCTCATGAGAGGAGCAGGGAAAGAAGAATGCTCTTATCAGAAATCCATGGCCCTGAACTACCCTTTACCTGCATACTCTGGGATTGTGGCTTACTTCCACTCAGTTGCAAACTACCTCAGAAGATAAAGATTCTGCCAGGTCATCAAAGGCCTTGCATATCAGGCCAAATAGATAAGACATAAACTTGGAAGGTCATTACTATCTCTATATATTCAAACTCTAGCCATCTCACAAGGTTCAGTGCAAATAATCACCTCTTCCAGAAATACCTTCTGAATACCAAGCAATAACTCTCTCTTCTCCAAATGTCCAATCCAAGATCCTGGGCAGCTTTTGTAAGTCTCAGCTTCTCCATCAGAATAAAAGATGACTAAGGACCTAAAGACTTCTCATGAGGGTTAATGGGATAGCATTTATAAAAGTGTCAAGTAGCAGTTTTTAGTACATAGCGGATGCTAAAAAGCACTGTACTGGTACCTCAATGTCATACATAGCACTTTTTCCTTGTGTTAAAATGATGCCTTGGCTTCCCACTAGATTTAAACTAACACTTTCTTTGGTGATTTTCCCAAAAAAGACAACTTTGCAATTCCCCTCCAAGCTCACAGGTCCGCTTCCAATGCCCAGAGGACTGGCTGCTCTCTTCTCTGACAAAGCCTCCCACATCCAAACTTCCTGACAAAGGGTTCCCCCCAAACTCAAAGAGAATCCAACAAAAGATGATTCGTTGATATAAAAGGAAGCCAAAAGCTGGCTGAAACATAAATAGAATAAAGGAAAATAATTTTCAGAATCACAAAGAAGGGAAAGTGGGACAGAGTGAAAGTCCAGCTAAGTCTTTGAGGGCCCGAGGCATCCAGCTCATGGTAACTAAACATCCTGGCATAGACGGAGAACAAGGGACCCCATCCTCAGGCCCGATTTGAGATCTTCTGCTAACACAGACCTGGTTATTCTGTCAACCTTCTTCGCGTCCTATGTCTAACCAGCCAGTCAGACTGTAAGGGTCTACACTGTTGACTGGAGCCCTCATCCCTGCCTGGCTGAGGCTACCCAACCAGAGAAAAAGAAAGCAAGGCCACCTTTTCCAGCAGTTCTTATAAATAGGTCAGCAACACCAATTGTATTTATTTATTTATTTTTGGTACTGGGAATTGAACCCAGGGCACTCTACCACTGAGCCACATCTCTAGCCAGTTT